CCAGCGCAATTAGACGTTGGATTGTTACATTCAAACACGAATAAGAAAAAATTAGAGACAAAGGCTCGTTCTGGACGTCTTCGCGAAGCAGTGACGTCAGAAAAAATTGCCAAGATCGAGGATTTTGTCAGCAATAACCCGCACATTTCTATTAACATTTTAGCCAAAAAAATCTCTCATTTTGCATAGTGAGCTGTGCCTCCAGAATAAAGGGACGAACAACTGTTCGTGACGTAATACAATGCTGCGCTACATAAAGCAACGATCATTTTCATACCGAACGAGTGGAACTTATTCTCTATTTGCCAACAGTCGAGACCGTATTTCTTGTAATTTTTTCTTATTCCCTCGAATAAAGAAACAACTGAAGGAAAAAAGATTTGATAAGGGCAAGGGCTGTTCAGGCAGTTGCTGAAACCATCCCAAAAGCCGAATCGTCTGCAATGTTTCATGGATATTAATGGAGAGTACTTTGAGGGAACAAAATAGTCGTATTGATACTTATTATGAAATTTCTGGAAATAAAGATCTACGCGCAAAACTTTTCAAACCCCCCACGTACTAGTGTATCAGGGACGAGGTTTTCTGTGTATCAGGAACGATGGTTTCGCTTCAACTATTAATTATTATTATTGTAATAATAAATTTTGTCTTCCGTTGTAGTAAAGCTAATTCAGATTCACGTAATTTGTTAGCGAACTATCCACTCAGTGAAAAGATGTTTTTGCAATGTGTAAACAAAAGTATTAGTATTACATCATTGATAATGCATTTGATGATTACTCTTGTAAAATGGGCGACTTTTTATTTCGTTCGCCGATTTAGAAAAGACTGTTCTTGTAATGTAGACAAAGGATATTCATTAATGATGTATCATTTTGTAACGTGTTAACGTATTCGGAATATGTATAAAAAGGTTGATTTCCCAACCTCAAAGATTTTTAATAAAAATCAAGTTAAAACAATTACTATAGCGCGGAAGGAACATCCAGCAAAAAAAGGAAGAAAATTAGTCGTCAATTTGTTTCAGTACTAAAAGACTTACAGTAAAATGGGAAAATCAGTAGGAAACAAGTTACTTCGTTAAAACAAACTAGCATGGGACATTTATTTAAACAAGTAATAGTGATAATAGTAGGTTTGTTTGTTTGTTTATTATTATTATCTGCATACGTCTTATAATTCGTATTATTAAAGAACTCTCCTCATTGGGTAAAATTTAAAATACGTGAAGAGTCTCGACACTCGCTTGTGACTAAGTCTTTTTCTTTCTTTGCTCTGGATTCGTCGGGTACGTAAGAATATTGTCTCAAATATGGACTCTCTCTCAAAGATGACGAAAACAGACTCTTGTGAAACAAGTGATGTCAGTGTCCTTAAGGACTCAGAAATGTTACCTGTTAGTTAGCGAACAGACGTACCATGTTGTTCATTCTTTGGAAACACCTCTACACTATAAATTAACAGTATTGTGTAGGAGTCTGTGATCGAGCTTTTGTTGACTAAAATGATTTGCAATCGTGTCATTTTAGCGATAGGCCAGACCTGACATTTAAATGCATAGTTCATCACGTTTTCGTTACACCGGCATCGAAAAAACCCTTCACCGACGTTCCCAACGTTCATTATTGAGTATTTGGTTTTGAACGGAAAGACTCACACCGTATCGACATGTTTACTAAACATTGCATCTCTCATAATTCATGTGTCAGAGATACTCGCCACCGAGTAAATTGTATTCGTACCCGCGGTCCAATAATACAGGATTTTATTCCAATATCATCATTAATTAACTTCCAACTAAATATGCGATAGCGTATTAGTATTCGATTTTAAATTCTATTTGCAAGCGAATTGACGTATAATTGCGAAAAATATAACATATTTACAACTCGCAGCGACTGCGGAGCGACAAACAATTTCTGGCTTAGGCAAACATGTGCTTTCCCAAAATGGCTATTGTTCAAAATGTGATTTACAGAAACATGGTTAAATTTATAAATTAAATGATTTATTTCGCTGTAATTAAGAGCAAGCAGGCAGATTTCGCAGAACGAATAAGCTGCTTTAAAATAAATGTGAAATTAAGATAGACCCGTTCGAGACTTGTACTGTTTAAGCGGAGGATCCCTTTTGCGTTTGGGGCTAGAATGGTCCTTTGGTCCTTACACCCTCGGCGTTCGGCGTTATGAGTGAGCTCGTCGTTCACCAAAAATTAGCCCGTTTGCGGAAATACGGCTGCTAAGGAGTAACAATTAGACCCGGATTTTCTCGCTTTGGTTAATCCTATTACATTGGTTGTTATTCTGAATAGAAAAATCAAGTTATGTGACGTCACATGCTCACTTTGTTGCGGTACGCCCATTAGGTGTCAACAAAAGTTGTATGTATTTGTAATCCAATAAGTAGTTACTATTGTATACGTATGATATCATTAAACAAATAGTTGTAGCCAATAAATTTATACGGAGCTTCATATTTATCCATTCGGCTGCGCTATAAATGTGTCCCATATTCGTGTTACATGCATTATATCATTTGTATTCAGTCCGTAAAATTTATTCGCCTGTGGCTAATTTAATAAACGATTTTCGGCCATTCACTAGAAATAAAGATATCCATTATTATAGTGAAACACGTGGACATATTTAGATCCCAAAATCTATACATGAAACAAATAGAAAAATCCATAGAAATCAATAATATATATACATATACACCGGACGCATTGACAGATTTATCCTTGGACGCACTCCAGCTCTTGCAAATATATGTCATATACTTATAAAAAAATAAAATGGATAATAGCGATACGGACAATACAGCCTACGCAATTGGCCAACAGTTGACGAGAGTGCTCACCGTCATTGTTATTAGTGGAGCACTATTATCTTTGTTAGGAGGTATGTTTCAACGAAAATTACTTCAAACGTTATTACTCAGGTCATTTATTTAATATTGTTTTTAATTCATCAAACATTTCCAAATACAGGTATAATAATCGTATTTCTCCGTAATCGAGAGTCGCGTCGTCGGCCCTTTGCGAGAACGACAACAATAGAATTGGAAAGAGTGTCCAACAAATCCCAACTCTTATCGAGGGAGAAGCTTGATACGTTCCCAGTCATTGTATTTAAGGTTGAGAGTCATGTAGTACAAAGTGTGACGATAGAGAATGGAGAAAATGAAAAGAATTGTACTAGCAACATTGAAAAAAACGATTCCAATATTAATACCAACGAGAATAGCAATGGTACGACTACCGACAACGCTCAGACAAATAACACAACAATACCCACTGCAAATCGTGAACCTTCTGTCCCGTCCTCTCCAACACATGAAGTGTCACAAGCAAGGGAGAACGAGTTGACGAGTTGTATTAAAAATGAAAAAAATGACAATGATGAGGGGGGTGATAACGAGAACGTTGTGGAAGAAGATAAAAGGGACAAAAGATACGCAAACGAATCCCACCATGTTGACTTCCCAACAACCTGTGTGATATGCCTTGAAGACTTTCAAGATGGAGATGAATTAAGACAGCTTCCCTGTTTTCATCAATATCACATCAAATGCATTGGTAATTAATGAGTCTTTACTAGTTGCTGTATGCGTTATGATCGCGTGTCGTTTACTCAATAATCTCTCGTCCACTTGCTCTAATAGATCCCTGGTTAATGCAAAAATCTTCTGTATGTCCAATGTGTAAACATGACTGTAACAGACGTTTTATACCATTTAAGAAAAATGGCAATTCGAGTAATCGAGACACAATCGGCGATAGTGATATCAGTACAGTATCAACAACAACGTCAGCTACGTTCTCATTCTTCACGATAACGGCATCATCGCCTACTGCAGCGATACGCCAGCACGATATTGACATTACGGTGTCGCAAGAGAACAATGAATCGCGTGATGTAAATTCGAGACCATCATTGCAATTATCATTAACAATATCATCAACAGATTCACATCCACAATCGCAATGGTCTTGGTCCTCGTCACGCTCTTCAAAATCGGTTTCTACAATCGAGCCTTCTGAAGTTGTTATTGATAGAGTGCGAGGTGTTTCTTCTGATATTGGTGATGAAAGTAATAAGGGTGAAGAAGTAAATATTACTGTAAGCTAATAGACTGTGAAGTTATGTAATGTAATATAGTTTGATACCCCAATTTTAATTGGGAATATCCCATTCAATGATATTATAATATAAGTTTGAGGTAGATGACCCCGGGTCAACGTTCATATAATGTTCGCCCCTTTAGATTAATCAATACTCTGCTGATGTTCGTATAATAATAATAAACAGTAAGACACACTCTTATGTGTTTGGTAGTGATGATCAGCACGTGTTCCATCCCTCTTTTCCCATACAATAAATGGACTTTACTTTGGGCATTTATCGATTTGCTAATCCCATATCTTTTGACAATGCTCCCGCTCTACGCAACTATTGAGCATGTATTGCCTTTTCTTTCCCTATTATTTCTACCTCCTTTGATTCTTATCTCCTCGACGTACATTAGAATGTTCTCCCTCTCTCCTTTGTTTTTAATCATCGTCCCTTTAATTCCCATTGCGTATTTCTCATTTCATTTGCTTTCACTTCTATCCTATTCATTCTTCATCGATTTTGAATTTTTTGTTCTTATTCTCCCTGTTTTCCTCACCGCATTCTACTTATTCCATTTTTATTTCCAATATTTTACACGACCGAATCCGCTTCCTGGCCCGTTTCCCATCCCTTTTCTCACATCCCGTGATTATTTTTCTAAGGATCTTACCTCATGGGCTGTAGAATGTTATAATTCCTATGGGGATGTATGGGAAGTGTATACTGAATTATCCCGCGATATATGGATTTCAAGAGGTGATTTGATGATAGATGTGATGCTGGGGGACAGATATAAGCTGAGATTTCCAACAGCAAATTACGCTTATATGAAATTGGGTCCAGGAGATAAAGGAATAGGATTCAACAATCGTTTAGAAAATTGGGAAATGACGCGGGATGTTGTTGATAGTGTGATGAAGAGTGAAGGCTTCTTGGATGAAGTTGTTAAGTGGACTGAAGAGTATTACAGGTTCATTGAGAAAGAGAGAGGAGGAATAATCAATGGAATGCACGATTATAAACAATTAGTCGAAAACGTAGCAGTGAAAGTGCTCACTGGGATTAATCCAATTGAGTCTGATCAAATGTTGGATGATTTGGATCATTGGATAAATGAGAGAGGCTACATTACGAATATAAAAGATATAATAATTGAATTGTGGCAGGTAGACTTTATAGCATCTGATTCCCGCTCTTTATTCGTTGCGTATGATCTAAAGTATCTGTATCTCACATTCAGTCCTTAGCGAATGGAAAGCTTAGTCAACGAACTTATGAGGGTTTGCCACCTATGCATGGTCTTGCTCAAAAAGTTCTCGGTCGTTGGGATGCCATTAAATCTTGCCCGGCTGAACAGCTGATCACTAACGATTTGTTAACGAAATTGCGCGTGGCAAATACGGTATTAGATAATAAGAAGAGTACAATGGACGATGTTGGAAGGCCATTCTCACCTACGGAAATTACAGTTATTCTTACTGAAATGCTAATTGGTGGAATATACAAGGTAAGTGGACGATATTCAGACAATTCCAATTGTAAACGTATTCTAATCTCGCTAACTATTTTTTTTCGGCACCGCTTCCGCCTACCGAAAGATTCTTCCCGTTATAAAAAATCTTATGGCTGCGCTCGAAAAAGACCCATCCCTTATCACGCCTTTGACCGAAGAACTAACCGCGACCTTTGGTAATACTCTTCCTACGAATCTAACGGCGGCTTCCTTATCCTCTTTACCTTACTGCGATGCATTAATCTCCGAAACAATACGGCTGAACACACCAGTACCGATTATTACTCGTACAGCCGCACAGCCAGTAAATCTAAGAGCGAAGGCTTGGCCAACAGGAACTACGGTTAAACTGGTTGTAAATAGTTTACTAATGAATCAAAGAAGCTGGAAAAATCCCGAGAAGTTTAACCCAGAGAGATTCTTGGAACTCGAAAGTTCTGCGGAAAAAAACCGAAAAGAAGTTATATCATTTGGGAATGGCCCGAGAGCGTGTCCAGGCAGGGAAATGACCATGTGTTTACTGAAGACTTTTCTTGTTTTGAGGTTTTGGGACAGCAATAATATAATTATCGAGGGTATCCGAGATGTGAAAGGCGTGCGAGACGTTGATGTATTAAACTTTTCCCGGCTTTACTGAATTAATGGTTGGAAACATTTGAAGCATTACATTGCGTCATAAAGTAACTGCATAGATAAAGCGCGACGAGTCATCAAATTCTTTTTTACAAATTCACATTGTGCCCTCTTCTCAATTTATTTATTATTTTTTGAAATGATAATCATTGCAAGAGTTGAAGAAATCAACTTGCAATCATTCCAGTAAGTTGTCTTCATTTTTGGGAGCAGTTCATAATTATGTCTAAGGTGGTAAATAGTGCCTCTACACAATAAAGCATGAATGCATTGTGTGACTCATGCAGCCATAAATTTAACTTGGTTGTTAGAATCTTTTTCCTATTTATTACTTTATACTATTACTCTAAAATGTTATTAATAAATGTATATAAAGTTGGTTTTTTCTTCATAATTGCAATTTCAGATATATTAATACGAGTAAACAAAATGGCCAGAAGGCAGATTCATAAAAAATGAAATAGTCCATCAAATTCCTAATTTATAATTACTGCAAAAGATTTCATAATTATTTCGAAAGTCGAAAACCTTAGTATTAGCCCGCATTACTGAAGTGTAAATTTATTTCCCAAACAATGGCACTTCTTATTTGATTAAGATTTTCAAGTACTTTAGAAAGTTGCATAATATTATTACAAAAGAACTTTTTATTAAACACTTACGTCATAACGTTTTCTATTTTCGGTTACAGAAAAAACAGATATAAGTAATCTCAGCTATTTACTCATAAATGTGCAATAAAATTTTGCAAGTTTTAGGTTAAAACAAGCGCGAAATACAGTTAAAATTATATGGCGTTTGAATCGTTCTTTTAAAGTTATGCGTAATTAACAACAAATTAAGGGGAGTAGATTGTGTATCATTATCCGACTCACTGTTTATAAGTATAATGATGCTGCAAATACGATATCTCTTCGGATTTTTGTCAGAGCTAATGGAAACAGAAATGTTAGTAATGAAGAGGAAAACGGGCAAATAATTCTCAACTCAGCCCGCATACCTTCTGAGAATTTGCTCTCTAATTGTGTATTCCCAATACATTTGGCAGCGGATACCATAGATCGTAGGGCCTCTTCCAGATTACGAAAATGCCGTATAATGCTTCCCTCAAATATGTCTGTCTTTTGACATATTTGATAGAACTTTGCACCCTAATATTTTACAGAAAAAAAACAAAGAAATCCAGTCAACAAATCTACCGTTCACAAGCCATTCTCATGGTCCTTCTCGTCTTACCTGTGTCCACAAATAAACTACTTCCATCATATCACAGTGAAACTTCGATATATACTCCGTAATATCTATCTGCAGCTTACACTCAACAGTAATTTCTGCAATTCTCGTGGCTGTCTCTTTGATAATCCTGTAAGGAGCTGCAAACTCTTCCCTTAGTAAACCTGGATCGAGTTCTCCAACTTCAACAACAAAGCAACTCATCACAGCCGCAGTTAACTCCGGTGACATGTCATTAAAGAATCTATTCATTAACAATTCCGTAAGCACAAGTTCATCTCCAGCATTTATCTCGCAAGCCACTCGGCCTTTAATATCTACAACGTCGGCGGATGTGAGATAGCCAAGACGACGGAGAACGCGTTTGCGACTTTTTAGTTCGTCTTGTTGTATTAATGAATGGGCGAATTGAATTTTCTTGCGAAGTGCACGGAGTTTTTGTTGTATTGTCATTTTTCTGCTATATAGCTCGTAAAGTTCTGTTAAGCGAGGAGATTTATTCAAGGGGTTATTGATAAGACGCGATTCGAGTGTCTCTATGCGCTGTAAAGATCAAATATAGGGAAGAGTCAAGTTAATACGAATGAAAGGTATCGATATTACGTGATAATAAGACTAACCTCCATAAGCTTCGCAAAGCCCGCGTCTTTAATGCCCATATCCAATACTGGGTCCAGCAACGGCACATTGTGGTCGAACCTCTCAAGAGCTTCTTGCACATTTCGATACATTTCTCTTCTGGCCTCGAGGGATGTAATGTCTTTTGGTGGAAAGACACGGACAGTACTAATGCCATTTAGGGCTGTTAATAATACTGGTATAACCTGCTCAAGCAGTAAGAATTTAGCAGTTATCAGTTCTCAGATTAAAGCATTTAAATATGACGATCAGACCTCGTACTCGACATATACCATAGGTGTGCCCTTTTCACCTTCTCTGGGTGGCTTAACTCCAGTTGTTGTTCCATCAGGATTCTTTGCAACAATCGAGCTCGAGTCACAGTTCAGCAATACATCGATGACGAAATCTGTCGACCTTAGAGATTCCTTTGGTGTGCGTCTGCTATCTTTTGTATTATTTTTCACGTTCAACACCTAAAGAAAAGATGACAATACGGATGAATTTCGGTCCTATGACACAGTTACCCATTAAGAATGATCTCGTATGCTTTAGCTAGCGAGTCAGGGAGAGTGTATAATTACATATCATAATTTCCCGACTAATTGAGTAGCTCAAGTGTCGCCTGGACAAGGATAACAAATACTGTGACTATGACAAACCCGAATGTCTTACAAACAAGTATTTAATGGCACATTCTCGCGTATGCCATGCAGGAATAAACGATACCATTCCCAAATGCAAAGAATGCTGTTGCCATACATACCTTCGCTCTTGAAACCGATACGACAGCGCCCCATCCAAAATCAGTTCCGTCCATTTCAATCCTAACGAGTCTTCCGACGTGCAAGAATTGCACAGAATAGACAGGATGATTAAGCACATCCCGCATGTCACGAGAATGTATTTCGAGTTGTTGCCGTAACTCATAGTACTCGGATACAACCTCTTCATTTGGTATTACTATAGAATCTCTCTCCTCTTCCAAACACTTATACTCCATTTCCAAGGACGGTAAACTCGTAGTATTTTGGAATTGATAAAAACTGTTCCTAAGCATATGCTCGGGGCTCATACCTTCGAGCCGTGTCATATTGAGAATCATGTTGTATTTTAAATGAAATGCAGAGACCAGGGGGTCTGCGTCACCCTAATTATTGCACATATTAGTCAGTTGAGAACATCGCACTTGAGCAATGACATGCACGTTCAAATAGCTTACCATGATCATGTTCTTCATGACTGATGGTTCTACCTTGTCATGGGCCATCATAATGACAATTCCCCTCTCATCAAGGCCTCGTCTTCCTGCTCGCCCAGACATTTGTATATATTCTCCTGACGTTAAATATCTCAAGTTTTTCCCATCCCATTTTGATACTTGCGAGAATACTACTGTCTTTGCAGGCATGTTCAAACCCATCGCGAAAGTTTCGGTCGCAAACAGCACTTTGATTAGCCCCTCTTGAAACAGAATTTCAATGACTTCTTTTAGGAGAGGTAATAATCCTGAATGATGTATCCCAATACCCCGATGAAGGAGAGGAAGTATGTGTTCAATTTGAGGCAATTGTTTATCATCTTCATTTAGTCCATTTATGGCGTTGGTAAATATTTGGTCCACTAATTGATGTTCGTCATCTAAATTAATCGGTTATACAAAAGGCGTCAAGCAAGAACGATTGAAGAGGCGTAAAAATATGATTTGGCCGAGTTTGTATAGAATATACTTAATTTACCATCATTTAAATCCAATTGACTCATTTGTAATGCTAGCAATTCGCATTCTTTCTTGCCAAATGCAAACACGATTACTGGATTGTAATTTCTTTGCATAATCATTTTTACAATTCTGTATATATCGGGTGGTCCTAATAATGATTAAATTAATTTACTACTATCAGATATCAATCGCTTGACCATGATTAAAGCTTACCATCCGTTTCTCTTCCATTCCTCTTTGGCTTTCGACTTCTTCTATCGGAAGATTCTTTTTCGCTGTCTTTTGGCATATCTGCGAGAGCTGCTTGAAAGTTATCCTCACGGAAAACCCCTCCCTCATCAACTACCATATAGATACCAGTAGCGCCGTTAGGAAAAATATAGTGTTGTAAGGGAGTCGGACGGTAATCTGTGTATACAACGTGACAAGGCTAGCAAATAGCATGCAAAATGTGAGTCAGTGAATATGAATCATATTGCGGAACCACGTGATAATCAATACTGACCTGTTCATGTATTTTACAAACCCACTCTGCAAATTCCATTGCATTCGGAATAGTGGCAGATAAGAACGCATAATGTACTTGATGGGGTAATAGAATAAGCGTTTCTTCCCATACAACACCACGCGCTAACGTAAAAGATAAAATTGTCAATATATATTATCATAGCCAACGTTATACAGTTATACAATTACCTTTATCACGCATATAATGTATTTCATCAAAAATTACCCAAGAAACTTCGCGCATCACTTCACTACCGCGATATAACATACTACGCAAAATCTATTACCGATATATTAGACACGTGGCAATGACAGCCGGAATAATACGAGTTGCAGAAAAGTAGTAAGCTGCTTATGAAGACACGACAACAGCCATTTAACAGTAAGCGAATTGCACACCTCAGTTGTCATAACTAAACATCCGGCGGATGGGTTAATAGAAACATCTCCGGTCAATAAACCAACATCACCGAATTCCTCTTGTAATTCTCTGTATTTTTGATTACTTAAAGCCTGCGTAAAAGAATTTTAATAAACATCAATAAGATTTGCATATAAGGAAGCTTTGTAAGTGAAAAAGTTTTCTTAGGCTCAATAAAATACCTTAATCGGACTGGTGTATATCACCCGCTGGTTAGCATTTAGAGCTTGCGCAATTGCATACTCAGCAACTACAGTTTTGCCAGCAGAAGTATGCGCACTGACGAGGACTGACTCGGATCGTTGTATCGATGCGATGGCTACTTTCTGGAATGGATCTAGAGTAAATGGGTACACCCGAGCTGGAATGGCTGGAGGTACGTGTTCAGATATTGGAATGTAGTTGTAGCCAGGCGGAAGAGCCACTTGGTGTCTGACCTACCAAAAGCGAGCTTGTCAGCAAACATATGGTATGTGATTGATATGCATAATAAACGCAAATA